ATTCCTGACCGATTCTCTGGTGCCAACTCGGGCAACACGGCCACTCTGACAATCACAGGCATCCAGGCTGAGGACGAGGCTGCCTATTACTGTCAAGTGTGGAGGAGTAGTACTGAATCTCACAATGACACAGGCAAATGGGGAAGCAAGACTTAAACTCAACACCAGCTGGGATCCCACCGCCCCTACCTGTCCTGGTCATGGAGACAGAGCAGAGGCTGCCGCATAGAGATGGAGTTTCTAGTCTGTCCTGCTAGGACATCAGATTCCTGACATATGGGGCAGGGCAGTTCCTGGTCCACCCAGGTGCAGCTGACTCCACTGTTACTGGAACTGGACATTTTGAATGAGGTGAACTGCCAGTTCCCTCTGCCCAGAAACTGTCAGCCCAGTACAATGTCTACAGGTACTAAGGGCAAATAACTCTTAACTGACATTATCTTACAGTCTCATAATAGGGAGATATTTGCAAAATATGATATTCTTGAGGACTGGCACTTGAGTAAGTTATACAGGTTATGCAAAGCAGGTAGATTTCAGTCACAACTGTGACATAATAACATGGGGTCAAAGGGTACAAGGAGAAAGTTTTGAAGCATTGATTTATTTGATAACACAATGCTTTCCATGAGTGAAAACTATGTGCTCAATGCAAGCAAGTGCTTGTTTGGAGAGTAACTGTTCTTAATAGATTGGAAGCAAAAAATGTGACATTTGCTGTTGACACCCGCACCCTCCAGGATATCAACGTTCATGATCTAATAGTGAAGGAGACACAACTGCATTCAGTCCTCAGCACAAAAATACTCACTGCAGGATAACAGTGAGCACAAGAGAGGGAGGGGTGTGTGTGTGCTTGTGAGTGATTTTTATAGAGGGAAACAGACACATATCTCCACTGTGTCTGAGAACTGCTGGGTCAGCTCAGTCATAAAACAGCCAGCTCCCCTCGTATTCACATAACCCTGTGAGAGTCTCCTGAAATGACTGCTTAGATGGAGTACAGAT